AAAAAAAAGAAAAAGAAAAACAAAACCCATAAACACTTAAGATTCACATGCCAATGAATAAGCACTAGCGTCTGCAGAAAGTGGTCCCACAAACCTCTGTGAAAAACAGCTTTGTCATGAGCTGTGCCTCCACCGGCAACAGCAACAACTAACCCTCACCTAGTAGTCCCTAAGTGCCAGGCACTGTTCTAAGCAGTTTACATGTATGAACTCATCATCATGCTATCAATCTCATGGTGTATGATTATTATCCTCATATTACAAATGAGAAATGGAGGCACAGAGCATTAACTTGCCCAAGTTATCCAGCTACTACATGGCACGGCTGGAAGGTGAACTCAGGCAGCCTGGCTGGTAATCACTGTGTTACAGGGCAAAGGCACAGCTGACAGAGGGTGACTCCTAGTGATGTTCACCCTGAACGTGATCTGTCAGCTGTGGCAGGAAGTGACAGGCATTCACTTTCCTAGGCAGGAGACACTCAATCTTCACCCTATGCTCAAGGATGTGGAAAGCACCCAGTGTTACAGGTCTGTTTCCACCTCATTCCATTATCTCACTTTGAGGGCAGATGACACCCCTTAGGTATGAAAACCTGGCAAACAAATAGTTCCCCAAATGTGTCCTTATGATGAAAGGCGAAAGGAGCACTGGGTCCCCAGTCAAGAGACCTGGGTGTGTGTTTCAACTCAGCCACACACTTGCTATGTGATCTTGAGCAAGCTACTTAACCTCTCCTAAGCCTCAACCTTTTAGAATGAAGGGAGGCTCTCAGTGGTTTTCTGACACTTTTAGGAGCACAGATCCCTTTCTTCACTGGGAAGCCCAATTCTTTGAAACAGAGGAAACCAGTGGTTCTCTAGCTGCAGGTACCCAGGGAAGGCAGCCCCACCGTGCCTCCCGGCTGTCCCCTCCCCCTCCCCTGGGTGCTGGAAAATGACTGGGACTCAATCAGATGACACAAGGCACACCAAGCAGACAGGCACACGGTGAGCAGAGGTTCTGGGGTGACAAGGAAGGCACAGAATGGCCAGAACACAGACGCTCACAAGTGCAAATACCAGGAAGCAGCTGCCCAAGGAAGAGACTAAAATCGTATCGTTGAGAGAATGCAGATTTGTCTCCATGTTTCCACGTTGCAGCAGAAAATTTACTTAGTGTGGTAGAGTTGGCTTTGTGGGACACAGCTGGACAAGAAGATTATGATCGCCTGAGGCCCCTCTCCTACCCAGACACTGATGTTATCCTGATGTGTTTTTCCATCGACAGTCCTGATAGTTTAGAAAACATCCCAGAAAAGTGGACCCCGGAAGTCAAGCATTTCTGTCCCAACGTGCCCATCATCCTGGTTGGGAATAAGAAGGATCTTCGGAATGATGAGCACACAAGGCGGGAGCTAGCCAAGATGAAGCAGGAACCTGTGAAACCTGAAGAAGGCAGAGATATGGCAAACAGGATTGGCGCTTTTGGGTACATGGAGTGTTCAGCAAAGACCAAAGATGGAGTGAGAGAGGTTTTTGAAATGGCTACGAGAGCTGCTCTGCAAGCTAGACGTGGGAAGAAAAAATCTGGGTGCCTTGTCTTGTGAAACCTTGCTGCAAGCACAGCCCTTATGCGGTTCATTTTGAACAAGTGCTGTTTATTAATCTTAGTGTATGATTACTGGCCTTTTTCATTTATCTATAATTTACCTAAGATTACAAATCAAAAGTCATCTTGCTACCAGTATTTAGAAGCCAACTATGATTATTAATGATGTCCAACCTGTCTGGCCCACCAGGGTCCTTTTGACACTGCTCTAACATCCCTCCTCTGCACTCCCACCTGATACACCAGGCACTAATTCAAGGAATTTCTTAACTTCTTGCTTCTTTCTAGAAAGAGAAACAGTTGGTAACTTTTGTGAATTAGGCTGTAACTACTTTATAACTAACATGTCCTGCCTATCACCTGTCAGCTGCAAGGTACTCTGGTGAGTCACCACTTCAGGGCTTTACTTATTAACAGATTTTGTTGGCATAGCTCTGGGGTGGGTGGTTTTTTGAAAATGGGCTGAACCAGAAAAGCCCAAGTCCAT